CGTCCAAATATATCCATTAGTACAGTCCCAATGACGAGTTCATCTAGGTAAAATTGATAAATAGCAGATTTTTAGCGATGGGCCCAATTTTAGATCCATAGGCCAATATTAGAGCCTACATAACTCTGAAATTTTCTCCAGTGAAAAATAAAAGGTTTTTTAGCATGAATAAAATTAATTTCTATAAGGCAATATTTTTTCCTGATTTTCCACCGTGTAAATTTTAATGGAAAACATTTTTCAGTTTATATATTGGTGGGCGTTGGCCAAATTTGGATTTTTCAGATATAATCCTAAATAGGACCTAGATTATTTAATACTCTACTAACCTCAAGTCCGTGCTCTGTCACAATGTTTCATTGTGATTAATCAACACTCAGAAGAGTAAAATATAAAATTTGGGGTAAATTTGAAAGAAAGGGTACTTGGAGTGTAGAGCGCACTGCCCACTGAACGATTCTGAAGCCTGGCCAAGTGAGTGGGGTATGGGATTATTTGATTGAACATCATTTCCAATGTATATATTGATACATTCAAACCATTGGCATTTGAGATAAGACAGAAATAGGATGCGAAGAGCCCGCTTAGGAGGAGCGTAACCCATGTTATGGTTTCCATTTATTAAATAGTTCAGATAGGCTAGAAATGGCAGGTTTATAGTGAGAGAATGTACCATATTGGGAAAGCATAATTTTCATAGGGTTCAGAGCGGCTGAGCTGTTCGTTTGTAGTTTGACCTTCCTTCAAAACCAATTTGGCACTAGAACAATTTGAAACTTGTTCTGCATTATTCACATGTTGCAATTATTGAAAAGAGCTTGATATAAGATAGCCACAGAAAACAGACGTTGAGGCTCCAATATTTCTCTAAAAACTTGTGTAAAGATTCCTATTCGACTTAAGCGCCACTAACGGCGACTTCCCCACTTAAAAACCCTCTTTGACAACATGATGGCGTTGCAAAACTTACACTAGACACTAAGTGCTGGTAGCGCCAAGTAGCAATTTTCAGCAGGTAATTTATCGGTACTAGCGACAAATTGGTCGAAAGTGATAAATTTATAGAGGAAATCAGGAGATGCTAGCGCTACGTAACGGCAACGTTTCCACTTAACTTTACACAAGTTTCTGACCGAACTTGGACATCTGGCCTCTGTGAGATAGCTTAATACAATTAAATAGAAATACCAAAATCTTACCGAGTAGTTTAGCTGTTCTGATTTCGGTACAGTTTGTTGAGGTCGGGTATAGTTTTATTGCCAGGGAACTTTCTTTTGGGATCGTCTTTTCTTCATACAATTCTCATTATTCATACTATACTAATTATGTTCAGTCTTAGAAAATGTTATATGTTTAAGCCCCGTTCTAGATTTGTTTGTTATTTATATCTTATGCATTGCAGCTCGCAAGAGGTTACCAAACATGGGTTCTTTTTCTCATCCGCAATAGTTTGGGGGGAGGGGGCGATCAGAGAGCTGAATAGAGGCAAATAAAATAGGGAACACAACACCATGACCCAAACGACTAACCAACGCAAGCGGCTCACACTTAACTTGTTCTATTTCTTTCTTCCTCTCATGTACCAATATTACCTACCTGAGAACAAATGGGAACACGGCCAGATTTTCAATAGGCAGAAGGAAAAAAAAGCGAGAAAACGAAAGAGAGTAAGCAGTCAGAAAGGATTAGGCCATTTGGAAACAGCCAATTTATACTGGACGGAACTGGTAAGTAGGATACCAATTGTAAAAGGTGTGTGCTTGCATGATTTACATGAGAACCTCATTTCCTTCAATTACTACTCCATTGCAGCACACACCTAATAATGATCACTAACATTCATATAGTTTCAGCATTATCGACATTTATAATCAAAAGGTGAGTTGCACAGTATAATTACCATGCATAGATATAAGTTAATGTACCAGAACCTGGACGGACACGAGCCTACCCAGGGGAGGACCCGGATACGACCACCCATGTGTGTCTAGAGTATCGCACGAGCTGACGAGTGCAACGGGAAGGACAGCCAACTTAGCCAACATTTTTCAGTTTATATATTTTATGGATCGCTGTGATATGTTCCTTGGTCTCTGAGTTATGCATTATTTCTATCTGTGGGCAAACATTCATAAAATTCTGATACCCTTCGGCCCGTCCGGTCCGATAAAAAAAACCCAATCACCTTTTTGCACTTTTTAGTTTTCTTTTTCCAATAATCATCTTTCTCTAAACAGGTTACGAACAGCCCTAATTTTGTCCGATGATTCAAAAAATCCCAAATCTCATTTGTAATACTAGCACGATAGGTTTATTAATTTGCAATAGACTTACCATTCGAACAATGCCATCCTCGTCCTTGAACGATAAGTGGGGCCAACAATAAATTGGCACCTTCCCATTGTGGATACCTTATGGGAAGGTTGTGCTCCGTTACCATTTCCAACGTACCCAGGAGCATATCACCACATTTTCGGTGGTTTTGCGCGTTTTGCAGTTTTTGTTCGCGGTCACTAGTCTCCTCCACAATATTTAGTCTCTGGACCACTTCCGGGTGGCAGGCATTAAAGTGCCGTTTGATGTTCCCCGGATTGAACACCTTTTGTTATATTGGCTATATTAGCGAGGCAACCCACTGCCATCTTTTACTTCTTCCACCGCGTCACTTATCTTCCTTTTTATATATCCACGGTTCGTCTTGCTCATATTGGCAGTTGCACTCGCTGCGAGTATTAAATTGACTCACCGTGAACGTTCATTGAGGTCTGCACTCTCATCCGATCACACCAGTTCGTAAAGAACGATGAGAATGGAACGAGAGCAAATGGAAGGCAGCCTACCAATACTCCTTCGCACACAGTTTACTCACGAAGACTCACGGCATCGTTCGGTTCGTTCAGGACTGTATGCTTTGCTTTCGATATTCCAAACGCGTTCGGAGACGGTAAAGCTGGGTTTGGACAGGGCAAGTCAATTGATCAAGTCAGTTTAATTCAACTGACTTGAACGCGAATTGAACGTGTAAACCATGCCATTCAACTGAGTTGATTATTTGACTTGCTTAGTCTAAACCCAGCTTAAGCGCTTTTGAGTCGTACGATGCGAGTAATCAGTAGCCTTGCTGTTTTCGTTCTTTAAATAAACAACATCACCTGATTGTATGTGTACTGGATTTGCTGTTAAATCGTTTATTTCTTTTCTTATTTGTTTTTGTTCTTATAATTTTTGTTTAACAATTTAATGAGATTTTTGAAGTTTATATTTTAATTCTTTGCTATTGTCGCGCTTATGTTAAATTCTCATTTGGTGACGGTCGAAGCGCGCCGCTGATAAGCGCGCTGCAACCCCGCTCATTAGAATTATTCATATGTGTGTAACTTAGATAGTATTTTATGTATGCGACTTGAAGAGCAAATCCTGGATAAAGAGCCGCCGTGTGTTAAATCAATGGGCGCAGTCGTACGGCCATAAACTGAAAACAGATAGTATAATCCCATTTTGAGAAATTATACTACCACACACAATAATAAAAGCTTTATTTGAGGCATTTTAAGATTTTATTGCGCAACATTTTGCAATTTTCAACATTAGGACATTTTTCAAGATGGCCGCGAGAGACCAAGTTTTACCGGCCTATTAGATCGAATAACGGGTAAACGGTTGTAGGTAGAACATTTCTTTCTCATTATTGGTTGGTAGCCGTAAGCTTTCATAAGTCGAAAACAGATCAATTCCTGATGTACAGGGTGCGGAAGAATAATTGTCACCGATTGACACACAATTGATAAAATGAAAACATGCGTACACAGAAAAAAAAGTTGTTGAATATTACATCCAAACTGCTGCAACCAGGTCAATCCATCGGTTGTGTAATATAACGTTGTACGATGTACATCGATTTTGCGAACAAAATTACATCCATTGATGTAATATTGTATCTGCTTTTTGCTATTACATCATTATTTCACACATCAGCTTGAATTACATTGATCGATATTAAAAATTTTTTTTTGCTGTGTAAATATTTTTGTTTTAAATTTTATACAAATGTCAGCTCGGCTTTACGATAGTGTTTGAAATTCCATTCATTTCATTTCCGATTTCAAGTGACAGTTACTCTGGCTCACCCTGTATACCGGCGTTATTAGAATTGGTGATGATTTTCATTGCCGTTTCGGTCGACTAGAGAATATACCTGAAACCAAGCATAGAGTACAAAGTACAAAGGATGGAAATTAACAATGAAAGTGCTCAAAACATTTAACAGAGAACGTCCAAAAGTTCCAGTTGGAACGTAATAAGAACATGAAAAAGAAGAACATGAGTTTCATGACATTATGAAATTATTATTTTACATTCAGGCAAATTTTCTATAACGACATTTTATCATAGGTAATCAGTTTGTGATCTAAAAACATGCATAAAATGGAATGATCTCCATAATTCAGAAAATATAAAAATGTATTTCCGTATCCAAACTGTCGCGAGTATTTCTGACAGTTTCTTTCGTATTATGAATGCAATACCTTTCTCGCCTAAAATGAGAAACACATCCAGTCTGTTCAGTCAGTGTCTAGAGAGAGGACTAGCCAAACACGTCAGTTTGACTTGAGACGGCTTCGAGGCTGCAATTCAAGCATTTTGAGTTTTTCGTGATTATAATCGTGGACAATTGAGACGTAAAGGTAACAGCTATCATTTTACCATCTTTTTTCCAGAGGATATGTTTGCTCGTGTTCATTTTCTGTGGTTAGCCATAATAAATGAGTGATTGAGGCGTAGTTTCACGGTGATGTTATAGTTATAAGGCTACACATGTTTGAAAGCAGACCACGTCACTATGACTTCCGAGTCTGAAAATTGTACGATGGGTTTTTTGAGAAAACGCATGGGGTTTAGTCTTTAAAATGGTGAAAAATATATCTGTAATATGACGAAATCCAAATTTCATTTCACTCTCACAATGAAAGTGCCGAACAAAAACACGGCTCCACCATATGTGTGCGTGCATAGCGGGTGTGGATATGTATATGTTTTGGGTGGTTCTATGTTGTGGATGAATGTTTTGTCGCTATGTCCCCGGCGCAGTCTATCGTGGACTTGGTGCTGTGCGGGTATTTGAGCTTCATGGGACTGGTTTGTAGTGAATCTAGTTTTTTCCGCACAATTGACAAGTGAGATAGGCGGTTTGCTTTCTAAGGTACTGTGGATCTTTTTTGCATTCTATATCTTTAATGTGTCGATGACAAGAGGGTAATACTCTTAAAGAAGTGCAGTGCCCAAATGGGTGGTATTTTTTGTGTTGGAATATTTCATGTGACTACCTGGAGCCAAAATGGCGAATGCAGTTTTGACACATGCACTAGTTTCCCTATATTTATTAGTATTAATGGCGTCGTTGAGCGATATTAAGTGGCGGTTCTGTAGTTTGCTATGCGTCAAGATGTTTGTTTATAAATTTTGGAATATTTATTCATCGATTTCCAAACAACATGCAAACAAAGATTTGTTTATTTTAATTGAGATCAAAATGTAACCCGTATAACAAACTTTGCCTTTTCATTCAAACTGTCCTTTTTATATCTCAAATTAATGCCATGTGAACGTGTGCTTGACAGTATCTTTTTAAAAAGCCGTGGTAATGCTAAACGTGAACCTAAAGCCCGGTTTACACGATTCAGTTATGCGTCCAACTCATTTAAACTGCGGAATGGACGTTCAGAAAGCTGGTCGATGTCGAACTTGCTCTATTCGATGTCATATCAATTGAACGCTGACTTCTAGATCGGGGGTGAGTTGAATCTACTGCCTCAAACCGTGTAATTACGTCTTACGATTCGAATGAAATCTTGCAACATCCAACCCATAAAGTCGTGACTTTTGTTAGCTCAGGCGAGCTGATAGAGCTTTTATGAGGCAAAATAAACATCTGGCCTTCGGATGGGGTCGACATGTAGGGTCTAAGCAGAGTCGGTGATTGGTAGAAAATATACAAACCAAAATGGGGCTGTATGGTGCTTACCAATTGTTTGGAAATGAATCATAATTTTAACTGTTGGTTCAGTTATTTTAGTAGGCACATAACGTGGATTGGATTCGATAAACAAATTTTTAACCAATCAATTACAAAATTATTTCAAAAAGAACGAAGTTATTTTCTTTATCTCCGTGGTGGTCCTCAGACCTATTTTAATTTCACACATCAAGCCAGCTTTCGGTTGCCGGTATCGGAACACTTGGGTAAATGGCGTTATTTTCATGCTGACTCTGATATTTGCGTGCTTCTTCTTCTTTTTCTTTTCTGCAAAGTAAACATTGAAAGTTTTCCGAAGTAAGCAACAGCCATCAAAGTGTTTGCTTCAGTGTCTGAACAATTGGCGTTGACGGCGACTCTGGTAACATCCATAAGCAAACATCAGACTGTGCGTGAAACATGGCGGACTATCCTGTCAATATATGCTAGAAGAGACGATTTTTCGGCGGTGCCGTCAACGCCAATTGTTGAGTCGACAAAATTTATGCACCACCGCTCGAACAGAGTAGTGTTTGTTGAGTACGAATTTCATATTTAACATTGATGCGCTCCCACCATCGACACAAACACTGCAAGTTTGTGTGAAGCGAACACTGAAATGCGACTGGCACACGGAGTTTCAGGTTTCCGTTCGAAATGCAGACGACAGCAATTAAATGTTAGGTCTGCTGCCCTCGAACAAGAATCTACCTGCAAACAAAATGTTTTTTTTCCTTTTTGCCCTCCGAAGCAAGTCTTATCTTCTCAGAAAAGTTATACCTAGATTTTTGTATCGACTCATGAGCAGATGTATGTAACAAACATACCAATTGTTTTAAGGGGGTAGTACACTTTGAACGTCCAAAAAGTAAAGCATTTTCGTTAATTTGTTTAAGCAATAAAACACTCAGGGAGGGCAAATATGTTATAACCCATTTATTAGTCATCCTTCGAACTACAATTTGTATTTTTTTTTAACTAGATTGGCGTCTCCCCGTGGCCGGTGCACCAGGTCGCGCGGGCGTCCTCGCGGGGAAGTCGGAAAACGGTGTGGGTAAATACTCCTTTCCATGTGATCCTGGAACATAAATCGAACAAAAATCCTGATTAGTAATGAAATTTGGGTTAGAAATACGTATTCCGATTTTTTTTAAATTAATTTTTTCAAAATTTGTGGCCTTAGGAAAAAAAAAAGTCAATTTTTTCACCCTAAAAATGCTTACAAAATCGTGGATTAAAAATCCATTTTTGACAAAATCGAAAATGTGGATACGTATTTATAAGCAGAATTTAATTCTGAATAAGAAAACGTAGGCGATATCCAAATTTGATGATAACTGGTTAGAGTTATTTCCCACGCCAGTTTGAAAAACCCCGTTTCGAGATAAACGCGTTTTCGCGATTTCAATGCTCTCTCAGCGCGCCGGTACATGTTTTAGGAAATCGCTTCGTAAAGCGGTAAGGAATATTCTGGCGGACTTGGAGTCTTTTCTAAATTAAAGTATACATCCCAAGGAACATTTTAAGCCAAAAAAAATGTATTCTTTTGAAAAATCAAAGTGTACCCCCCCTTTACTTTTAAATTTTCATGCACAAGCATTCGGCCTGCACAGCGACATTTGACAAGTCACATGTGGCAAATGGCAGAAGAAAGGCATAATAAAAGCATCGATTGTGTTGGTTAAAGATCAAGTATTGCGAGGAGAAGCCAACAGGACGCGGCGATCATAAATTTGGTTTATTTTAAACAAATTCAAAGCCCCACACTTGACGACAATCAATGGGCTGCCTTGTAGTGATTCTTAAACGCAAACTGGGTTGGTGGTATGGTTTGGTTTCAACACATGGCAACATGGCTTTCCGTTTCATAAACTAATTCGGAATGAACTTATCTGAATATCATTACAGCAAAAGCAAGCTCGGAATGCTAGAATATATTTGAAAACACATACAGTAAATTATAGAACCTCACATCCATATTTGAAGCATTCCACTCTAATGTCCGCTAATCACCCTTTTTGCAATAAAAAGTTGACTTAGGGCTTCCGAGCTTTACATTAGTCGTATATCGACCTAATATGTCAAAAAGGGCCAGTGGCTAGTGGGACTAATGCAGTAAACGCATAACCATCAAAACATTTGAATATTTATGCAATTCAACATAAAACTCAGTATTCCATCTCAATTGGGTTCTTTGAAGGTATTGAGGTAAATGCATGTTCGAAATCTGCATTAAGAATGGAACCAAAATCCCAAATTTCATCCATTTTCTTTACACTGGAACTATTTAAAAAAAAAAGTGCCCCTCGGAGGGACTTTGTATGGGAGCGAGCTGTCAGTTTGTTAGTTTTGTTTCAAACAGTGAAGTTATTGTTTTAAATCTTGATTCTTTTTTTAAAAATTAAAGATCCCAATTGTTTGAAATACAAAAAAAAGACACGAAAATTAGTATTGTTGTCGAAAACATACAGAAGAAAGATTCGCCTGAGATGAAAAAATTATAACATTTGTACTAACTTTGCAGGCATAGAACGCGAGAAAACGAATAGTGGATGGGAAATTCTATTTCATGGCTTGATTACGTATTTTTTTGGAGATTTTTTGATGAGTATTGTCTACCTGATCACTAACCAGGAAGCATGAACAGCCTATAGTGTGGAAAACTAAGCTCGAAGAAGCAGGGCAAAGGTTTGAGTCGTGTCCCAACCCATGTAAGCAATCATATATGTATAACGAGCAAGGAATCAAAAATATCGCACAATGACAAAATGACAAGCGATCAACGAACAAGCAATATACCATTATCCTTCTATCACTCCGATCGAGCTATGTTACAGAGCGAGTTTGTCATGGTAGTCGTAGCAACCGTTTTGTCTGTATCGTTGGCAAGCTTTCCTAAGCTCCTGGAACTCAGATTATGCCGTATAGATGCTCATTCATCGTGAGCTAGTTCATCTCTCACATATAAAGAGCAATGATGTCAAATCCAAAGAGCGCAAAAGAGCTCGAGCTCAGATTGATGCTCAAGCTGGACTTCCACAAACACGCATCACGATGAGTGATGCGGGGTTCGTTCTTGAGTATGGCGTGATTTACATCGGCTCTGCTCACCAAACAACATTTTGAGCTTCGGGATGGACTCGGTGCTCGGCGCCTAATACATAGGTGCCACAGTCGGAAGAAGTGTTAGTTTGTTTACTAAAATGAACCGTGCCCATTTTGTTATGGCATGTTTGCTATAAGAAATGTGCCTCGTGTTTATTAGCGAATTTCACGTCAAAGATTGATTAATTGAGTAGGAAATCAGTTTGGCACGGCATTTGTGACCAGCATACACCTTCCGGTAGTATGAAACAGGTCAAAAACTGTTCAAATCCGCAGATAAAAATTTTTGTTTTGAATTTCTGTATAGCAAAATAGTGAACTTTTCGTGAACATTAACGGCAAAGAACTCACCAACACTGGGAGACCGTGAGTTCCTGCCCACCTGTCATAAAACCGTCTTGGACTCGGTGAAACCGTAAATATAGAGCTTCGTTATGCATTCGGAGAGAGCACACAACAATACATTCAATGGACTATAGGACCACTCCCACAGAACGTAACATTTTGAGAGATTGATGTTTTTTAAACTTGGGGACCACTTTTTGGGTTACTCAAACTCAGTCACAAAAATCGTTGATCGTTTTTTCCACTAAGTGCTTTATGAGTGGATAAACGAAATTATATTTCTGACTTAGAATGTACGAGGGAAAACCTAGTAAAAGCACTAATTACTCCGTTTATGGATTATCCCTTGGTGATGTTTTTGTATTCCCCTGTTACCTTTTAACATGTTCATTCATTCAATTCGCTACCCTCGCTGCACACACGGTAGCTCGGAAACCTTTCTGGACCAACAATTGAAATAGGTGGAACAACCCAACGTATTTTTTTTTTCTTGGATTTGTTTTACGTCGATCTTGTTTTCCGTGCTGAGCACCAATGCTACCGACACCAGGAAGGCAGCTCCACACCTGGACCCTACCTATCGACCCATCAACTCATGAACCGGGGACCAACGGCTTTACTTCCCTTCCGAAGGAAGGCGTGATCAGAGATGTTATGCCTTAGAACATCCCGGCGACGCCGACTGGGATTGAACCCAGGCCTGCTGGGGTGAGAGGCAATCACGCTTACCACTACAC